ATACATCAAATCTTTCAACAAATTAATCTGGAAATGTTATAATTACTATTGAAGTTGCTAAATTACTATCATAAATTTTAGTTTGAACTCCATTCAACACAGCATAAACAATTATTTTATAAAATCTGATACCTTCATTGTAGAGATAGCCCAAATCCCAAAGCCAAATTTTGAATGTATTCAATAAATATTTTTACATTAGTGATATGGAAATTTTTTGGCTTATATGACAATATGTAGAGGGCACTCCATCTGACATAATAGTATAAGCATCATCCTTTAAGAAAGAACCATAATTTCTATCACTAATTTAATTTTATCTTGCTAGTGAAATCAATGCTCCAACTTATTATTATAGCACATTCTTGTGATTTCTCTTTAATATTGATTCTAATTCCTTAAATCGCGTCAGGCATTGTTATCTGGTAATCTATATTAATAAAATGTAAATAATAAATAGTGACTCACTCTTCATTTTTAAAACAATAAGAAAAAAAAATAAATGAAAATTAAAACTCTCAAATTATTTTATATTTGATTAACAATGAGTTAATCAATAAATTTAAATTAATGAAGTTTTGGCAAACCCAATTCAAATTTAAGATTACTTAACTTAGGAATTGAAGAATCTATTAAAAATACTAAATCAATAAAATTATTGATATTATCAAAACATTACTAAAAGATTTAAATCATAAATTTATACACCTAAAGCTCTCTATTTCATTCATATGACATCCTATTTAACTATCTAACACTTAGTCCCTTATATTTTTTTTCTAATTCTATTAAATTAAAATAATTAAAATATTATTATTTATTTGCATTTTGCGATTTGCAATTAGGTGAATTGAGTTTATGAAGATAAAAATTACAAACGAAGCTTAAAATATATATTTGCCTAATAAAAAAGGGTAAATTGAATATTAGCTTTAATCTAACCTTTTTAGATGATTAAAAAAGTAGACCTCCCTTTTGAACACATATGATTACTTATATGTGCATAATCATTTAGGTAATTTTAGAATAAAAAAGGCATTGTCATCATATATTGAATAAAGTTTTTTTCAACAATAATGTACAAATACTTAAATAAAGTTCTATTGTAAAGCTATATACGATACTAAGATTCTGAGTTTCATTCTCCGGTACTTTAATACTGAACTTTTTAAGGAACAAAAGTCTTATTAAACTACACGAAAATAATATTCAAAATTTTGAGCAATTCAGAAACATGTATTATTTGATCTCAATCTTATATATAACAAGAAAATGATAAAATCAATAATTGCGAATATTCATAACAACTTCAGTTAAATTATTAATATTTATATATCTTCTCAAAACCTATGCTCTTATGTATCCGTAGCTAACATTTTTATTGACACTCATACTAAAGCATATGGAATCCCGAATTGTATTCATGAGCAATTGCATTTTTCAATTTTTAATCTAAGCTACACACTTGAATCTAAAAGTGAATATATCTGATAGATGATAATCAGCTTATTTTTCCATTTTATAACTACATTATCTAGAAACTGTCTTATAATAGGGGTTATTATATCAAAGCTGCCACACTTTATCCTAAAAACTAATATTGAATACTATTTTATTATTCCAAAGAAGAACAGCATAACCAAACTATAAACTAATAACAATCTCCTATTATTTCTACTTTGATTGTGAATATGAAATGTTTATTCTTCCTATACTACTAAAATTATATGATAATCATTAAAATTTAGCTTCTCTATAGAAAAATAAAATTGTCCCTTTATTTTATGACTTTAAATTTTAATAATCATTAATTATTTGGAATACTATCGTTTTTCTAAAAATGAACTATTGTGTCATTAAATAAAGACTGAATTACTAGTGTACTCAAATTATTCTGAGATAGCAATCCTTCTAAAAAGTAATAAATTCAATAACAACAAAAACTAATTTTCTAAGTTAATTAAGATAAAGTATAAATCTAAAATAGTAAATGCTTATGGATTAAAAATATTGTCACAGTTTTGAATTTTATGAATTACTAGGTGTGAATATAGCCAAATATAAATTTTAGATTAAAAAAAGTACATATTACAATCTCTTACCGAACCTTCTTAATTTCTAACAGTATTGCAGGTTTAAATAATTTAATTCTATCAGTCATAACTTTTATTCATTAAAGCGAATGGAAATTTCTATCAAGTCATTTCTGAAAATTTACTAATGCAAGAAATCAGAACTTAAGAGAAGAAACTTCAGTATTTATAAATTATATAACTTTGTTCAGAAATCTATGGGATGGCTATTAGGAAGGCTATAATAACTTTCTTTCGATTAGATAAGTTATCCAAATCTTTTCACATGAGTAGTCAAACTAAAAGGAATATTTGAACTTGAGGGTTTAATAATATTGCCTTCTTAGTCTATGTTAAGTGAGATTCTTTGAGTTTTTATTTTGGATTGGAGGAAACTTTAATTCATGAGATCACTTGCATTAAATCTTTAAATTATATTTTAGATATTAAATTAAAAATTCAAACCCTTTAAATAATTCGGCATAAATTTTCAACTTATATATGAATTTTAAAGTGGTTATTAGTCTAAACCCAAAAATAAATTATCTATTTGTTCAGGGTATATTATTACTTCTAAAGCTTCTTAATGAGGATTTCATCGGAATTCAAGTATAATAATGGGATTAGAAAGGCTTTAAGAACTAAGTACCTTTGATGACAATTTGTTACATAACGGAATTAGTTTGAATAAATATTATTGTGTTGACTAGTGTTGGAGTCAAAGACAATTACATATTTTCATTTGTAAACTATACAAATATTCAATTCATTAATTTCTTTCAATATTGTTGGTTTTATTTTTAAAACACATTAAAAGAAGTAAGTGTCATGGTACTTGATGATCTAAAAAAAACTAACTCATTCAGCTGTTTTGTATTAAAAAACATTATAGAGAGTGACTAAAAGTCAAATTTAGTTAAACTGCAAAAGGAAAGATACATTTTGGATTGCTGGGATGATTTCTTCTAAAAATCTTATTTTGATCATCATCTAAATTTGTGTACAAGGCCATTAATAATCTGAATAAGCATTTAGTAGTACATTATTGCCATAGTGTAGAACAGAGTCAGCGTGAGCATGTAATATGTTGGTTTATAAATTGCTGACAGATAATAAAATTATTGAAATCCACTCTAACGGGCAAAATTTAGTTCTTTAAAATAAACATATTCTGCTCGCCATAATTTTCCAGTTACCATTTATCTGAGCAAAATGTAAGCTATATTACTAATTTATAGCTTTATAACAAGTAAAGGCGTATGTATTTAATTAATGCTAAATTAAATATAAATTATTTAATAAAAAAACACTGATCAATTCATGTTGAGCATACAATTCTTTATCCAAATCTTAGTTGCAACTCTTTAAAATTTGTATAAGATGATTTTGTAATCAACGCAAAGCATCTCATATGCAATAAATTATTTATTTGTCCATTTTTTATTTTAACAATACAGATGGGATCAATTCTTATGCAAATGAGCACAAGGAACATCACAGCTAATTGTAAAATGAAAGTCTACCATTTATTTAGAAATTGATCGGGAAGAGTCAAGGAAAATTAAATTTGATGAGCGATGGTTCTTACCAGTTTGATACTTTGCTTTGGCCTTGATTTACAATTTATTAGTTTTCTGACAAGTAAAATTTATAGTTTATGGAGCTTAACATCAATAACTCTTTAGAAGTAAGTACAAACAAGTCTTATAAAGCAGAGAGTCCCGAGGAGGTATAAGATGGTAGTAATTATCAAAAAAACTGAAGTTTGTAGAAGATTACAATCCTTTAATTAATCATTTACTGAACCCTTGATCCTCATTAAAATTCGTTTAAGTCAATTCTAATAATGATTTGGTTGGTTAATTGTTTTGATCTCTTTAAAGAAATAGAAATTTCACTTTTTAAATCCGCGAAATATTGCCACCTTAAAACCATGAAAATTATGAAATTCCTCCAAATAATAACATACAATTTTATTAAAAGATAACATTACTTATTTTAACCCAATCTATATATGAAACATATTTTAAATCGAAAGCTAATCAAACACACTTTAACTACAGAATTAATACATATTGTTTTATAGCTTCAGGAAATCAATTGAAAATTAAGTATAGAATCATGCAATATTAAAAAATAGCAGAAACACACAGAAAAATCATTTCATTTAAGAAATTTCAAATAATTAATCTAAAATAATAAGCCATAGTCTTAACAAAGCAAGGGAAATTTAATCAATTTTCCTATTTAAACCAGAATCAAAGGATTTATTTCAGCCAAAGTTTTTTATTTTAATAAGTTCAGTTTTTGATGCTACTTTTAAATGAGTAAGAGTTCTAACTGTAATTCATTCAAATTTTGAGTTTTATATACTTTATTAATTCTTTTTTCTATAGAATATTATAATAGCAACACATATTCTAATCAAGATTATCTTACCTAAATCATCTATTTCATTCGATTATTGTTCATTATTATCTAGTAAAGATGGATCGTAAAATATTTAGATATCTCAAAGTTCTGTTTTACAATATAAGGAGCATTAATCGTGAGACGAAGAGTTCATAAATCATGAAGGACAATATTTACTATCAATTCTAATCAAAAGGGATTTTGCAAAACTAAAAAAAGAATTAATAACATCAAAATCATTTTTATCAAAAAATAGAATTATGATATCAATTATACAATTATTCTTTTTTAACAACACTTAGTCCATTATATAATTTGTTTTAAGTGATCATCTTAATTTTATGGCTTTAATTATACAACCTAAAATATATTTATAACATTAACTAACCTTGCGAAAGGTTTTTTAACTCAAAAAACATTCTTTTGCTTGTTTTCGAGAAATGATAATCAATTATTTATTTTAATTAAATTTGGGTATTCCTGAGCAGATTTTCTACTCTCTGGTTTCTTATGAAAAGTGATATACTTTTACAAAATTTACAAAAGATTTTGTTTTGTGCTCAGACTGCTTATTATGGATTGGTTGCATGCAAAATTATCAGTAATGCATACCAAGCATAACAATATAAAGATGAAACTTTCGTTAGCTATTTACAATCTTCTATCCTTTCGTAATCAAAATTATCAAGAAGTAAATTTTACTTTTATTGATGAATTTCTAGTATTTTGATAAGTCAAATTACAATATAATACTAAATTCATCATAGAGTTTTGATAATATATTATTATTACTATGATACCTGGTAACTAACAGGAAGATTAATAATAATATTCTTTCCTCATCATCATTTGTTGTAAGTTGTAATTTTCAGAATACTATTTTTCATTTTGTTGAATAAATTCTTAATATGCTGAATTGTTTAAAACTGAAATTCTAATAATTTTTATGCTATCACAATATATTTAAGAGCGATCTACATTTCTTAAGCTAATATAATCAAAATACATAAAAGGGCAGTAAATGGTTGGCAAAACGATTGCAGTCTCGGATAATAAATTTGCCGAAACCTCTATACTATAGTAAATCAATAAGAAATAACTTATGTTTACTATGGGTCAATATTGAGAATGTAAAGTTGATATCGATGTTTAAAGATAAAAATTATGAAGGGTATCAATAGATGACAAATCTTGAATAAATCAATTATTTATATTGGAAGGGATGTTATGGAAATAATAATTAGAGGGTTGGATATTGGATGGCTACATGGGATGGAGAGACTTTGACAAATGTTGGAATGCATTACAACGACGATGGTAGAAAGGAAGGTAATTAGGTAGAAATAGTATCGACAGTTTGTACTTTATGTATTATTTTTGAGTATTAAATATTACAGCTTAAGTTTATGAAATAGGAGAGTATGAGAATGGCTTAAGAAAGGGAAGATGGAAGTATGTCTAATTAAATTAAAGAGATGTAATTATTATTCCTAACTAAAGAGGCGGTGGTGAGTATTGTTAGTAAGGGGAAAAGAAAGGACTATGGAAAGAACTATAAAAAGGATTTCAGAATTGTACCTAGTTTTTTATAATGGGGAGGACAGGGGTTGTAAGAAATTTGGTAAATGGGATTTTAGCTGGATCAGCCCTATTTATAATAAGCCAGAGTTGATGTAAAATTGAATTTAAAGTTGATAATTAGTGGTAGCGAATCATATGATGAAAAAGGAAATGTTATTTAAGTAGGTCCTTAGATCGAGTTGTAAGATGAATTTAATGTTAATTCTCAAATAACTTATAATGGCGAATATAAAAATAGGAAAAAGTTGGTAGATGGGATATTATGTATAGGGAGCATTCAAATTAATGTAAGTGTTTTATGTATCTACATTCTATTTAGCGGGAGTGGATCCTATGATGAACTAGGCGAAGGGATTAAAATAGGTAAATGGATTGAGCTATTTCATGGATTTTATAATAATTGCTAAGTCACATACAGGGTGCAGCATAAAAGTGGAAAATTAATTGGTCGTTGGGATATTTTGTTTAGGGATGATTCGATTTATCCATTTCAATTAGTGTAAAATTATTATGTATTATATTTAGCAGAGGTGGATCATATCATTTAATATGTGAGGGATTTAAATCATCAATTTGAAATGATGTAAAATAATGTTTTCTAATTTGCCTAGTGGTGGCGGATCATTTATTGATAACTGCAATCAAATTAAGTAGGGCAGTTGGATTGAGTTTTCGGATGATTTCCAAAATGATTCTTCAGTAATTTTTGATGGTCAATATTAAAATGGTAAAAAGGTAGGTAGATGGGATATTTTGTTTTTGGATTTTAGAGGAAAAAAAAGCTTCTTGATGTAAGAAGTTTATTAAGCTTATGTAATTAAATTTTAGTGGTGGTGGTTCATTTAATAAGCATGAGTTTCCTTTAAAATAGGGTAAATGGATTGAGCTGTCAGAAGGATTTCAAAATGCATTTTAATTAACATTTATTGGTGACTATTAAAATGGGAAAAAGGTTGGTAGATGGAATATTATGTATAGGGTGGATTCAAGTTATCGATTTAAATTGATGTAAAATAATGTTATCTGATATGTTTAGTGGTGGGGATCATATGGCGATAAATGTACTAGATAAAGCAAGGTCAATGGATAGAACTTTAGAATCAACTTAAATTTTTGTTGATATAATTAATTACGGAGAATTCAATAATGGAATAAAAGTTGGCAGATGGAATATTTATTATAAAAACATTTTTAAGAATTAAGTCAATTTTATGTAAATTAATTTATACCTATATATGCACAGTGGTGGTGGGTCATATGATAAAGGTGGAAAAGGGAAAAAATTAGGTAAATGGACTTTACCATGTCATACATATTATTATGGTTAAAATATAACTTGGAAAGGAAAATATAGAAATGGGAAAAAAGTTGGTTAATGGGATATTTTCTTTAGAGATATTGATGGTTGTGGAGATTTTGTAAGTAATCAATAGTGGTAAAAATAAATTTAACAATATTTATATTGATTTAGCGGTGGAGGAATATATGAAAAAAAGGGTGAAGAAGTTAAGATTGGTTATTGGATTGAGTTATGGGATGGATTTGATTTTTCTCATAATGTCATTTTCAATGATGAATATAAAAGTGGTAAAAAGGTTGGTAGATGGAATATTTTGCATAGTTTTTAGGGATTTTCCATACTATTAAATATTAAATTGATAATTTATTAAAATATTTCTAGTGGAGGTGGATTTTATGATGATGAAGGGGATGAAATTAAGAATGGTAAATAGATTGAAGTAATTTATAAAGGTGAATAAAAAAACGGAAAAAAAATTGGTCTTTGCGATATTCTCTTTTAGGATGATTAAACTCAATCATGGAAATAGATGTTTAGCTTATATATTTAATTTTATTTAGTGGAGGAGGATTATATGGTGAACGAAGTGAAGGGACAAAGCATGGTAGATGGATAGATTTGTCTGAAAAGTTTGATAAAAGTTATTGGGTAACTTTTAATGGTTCATATATAAAAATGATAAAAAAGTCGGCAGATGGGATATTTGGAATTGGGAATGGGTAGCAAGGAATCTAAGATTGATGTAAATAATATTATAAAAAATCTGCATTAATATTTAGTGGTGGAGGAGAATATGATGAAAAATGTGAAGGGAGCAAAATAGGTAATTGGATTGAGTTGGCAGATGAATTTAAAGGGATAACTAAATAGTTTCTAATGGTTAATATCAAAATGGTGAGAGAGTTGGGAAATGTGAAAATAAGATAATTCGCAGGAAAGAGACTTGATGAAATTTTAATGATATTTAAATAATAAGATATATTAATATCAATTAAACTTTTACAATTATTTGCTTTATTAATTTTCTTTACTTAAACATCATAAATATTAAAGCCATGACATCGCATATTAAATTATTTTTCATTTAAATTACCAATACAAATATTGAATTCTTTCATTTTGCAAGTAGTTGATAAACTAAAAAGGCTTTTTGAACCTATAACCTTTCAAGAAATTAGTATAATTTTACCATGATATCAAGTTGTTATTTCTCTTTAATATACTTTAATATTATTAGTAAATATAGAAAAACTGTAATTGAAGATTCATTTTTGAAATATTAATTTACTAAAATAAAATGATAATTATAAAGATAAAGTAATTTCTATTTTAACTTCACATAGAATATACTAATATTGAATAAAAAATTCTCTATAATTGATTTTCTTATAACATAAATATTGAGATGTTTATTAGATTTAGTATAAATATTAGTGCATATTTGGCTACAAGTTAGCTGTAACTAAGGTAGGATAAACAATCTTAATTAGGGAGGCAGATTTGTGATTTAAGAACAGGATCTAGAGAATATTGATGCAACTAAAATAGAGGAAATTTTAAAGATAGACTTGAGTAAATATTGGAATGTAGAAAACAAGGAAAATTTTCAAGCTGAAGTAATTACTGATATAAGTGACATAAACGTTAACAATAGGGAAATTCATCTAAACCACAAATAATTTGAAGAGAATTCAAGAAGAGAAGAGAGGTATTTTGTAAAAATTTACAATAATTTTTTTGATTTCAATACTTTTAAATGTTTCCAGTGAATACTGAGAAAAAATATTAAAAGTGAGTAACAATCAAATTATTGTTCAGAGTACCCTCAAGTCATTTGCATAATGAGTTGTGCATTGAAGGGAAAAGAGAGCTGTTAATAATCCTAGTTTAAGTCAAAGTTTATCTCAATGACACAGGACGATTAGTAGTCCGGGTTATGTACATCCGAGGTCCCACAGAGCAACACTAATGATTCATGAAGGTTGTTGAAAGAAATAGATTAAAATTAGTTTAAGCACTGAACTATAAACTTATAGAAACAAAGCTTGGATGAGGAGTGTCGGTCGGAAATCTGTAGATCGTCTCATACTGTATACCTAGTATTGTCTAAAGGTTGGCGTCAGAAAATAAATGTTCTTCTATCAAGTGTGTCTTTAATCCAAGAAATAATTTAATATATAAATTAAATTTAACTATTATTTATATATAAATGTTTTAGCTAAACATGTATTTATGAGAATATGGGTAAATGAGTAATTTTAACAACTTGTGTAGCAAATTTCTGAGAATTTTCAAATCAACTAATTTGCGCCTGATTACTAAATAAAATATCTTAAATTAATAATCTTTTGTAGTCACAATACAACCAAAAAAAGCATTTTATAGATAAGCTATATATATGATAAATTTGTGAGTTGTGAACAAAAAAGTTCATCCATAAAAAGGCAAGATATAGGTGAAAGTAACTAGGGCTAATAAGATATAAGAGGATTTAGATGTAGATAAACCTAAAACTTGGTTGCAATATTAAAATTGTTTCAATGGGATCTGGATTAACAATAATTGTGATAAATGGATTTAATACAAAGTTCAAAAAACCAAAAACTGGAAAATTATTTATTTGATTTATGATTTAAAATAGATTTGTTTTTATGCTTCATTTATATATTATCTCATATGATGAGTATTTTTTATTTTCCATATCCCAAAACACTAAATATTAGCCATCATTGGTCATAGATCCATAAGTCCATGTAGTTTATGAGTTTAGTGATGCAACAATATTAAATGTGCCATCATTTAATCGTCTAATCAAATAGATATGATGCTTATGTCTTACTAATATCATGTTTCTATCTTTAATATGCATAATTGGAAACAATATTTAATCCTCACATTCATTATTCTCAATTAAAGAGATGGTTTTATTGTAATTCTATTTAAAAACTCCATTCTACAATTCAAATACAAAAATATCATTCTTTTACTCAGCACTAGGTACCCAAAGGAATTATTAATCGTTAACGAAATAGATTTTACTTCCAGATGAAACATTTTATCTATATTTATATTCCCAATTTCCTTTTAATCCTTTCCCCCATATTATAAATTGATCATAACCACAGGATGCCAATATAGTTTCGGATTAATTAAAACTAAGTGATTCTACACAATTGCTATGCATATCTAAAGAATAAAGAAATTTCAGATCATTTTTTGTAAAATCTACTTACCATACAATTACACGATGATCATTCCCTCCAGAAATAAGCTGATCCTCTTATTTATTTAACAATAAACACATAACACATGCATTATGCTCTTTGGATGGTTATGACCATTTCCACTCATTTTAATTAATTTATTTCCAACATATAATTTCCCCAGAGCCACAACCAGAAATAAAGTTATTTATCTTTTTGCTATACACTAAACAATAGATAGGATTGCTATGTTTATTATAAGAATTAGATAATTTAAATCTTCCTTTTTCAAAATTCCATATTTTAACCTCACAATCATAAGTTGAAATCATAATTGATCCATCCCTATTGAACACAATTGCTTAACACTATCCATTCTATTAAAATTGATTATCAATCAAATTTAATTACACGGATTGAGACATAGTTAATACCTATTATTTCTATTTATTGTCAACCTAAATCACATCCTTGTATGTCTATATCATAATTTCATTATTTACTTTTTCTAATATTTGCTCTCCTGTAATCTTCTGTGTTTCATTGATATTACTTAACTATTTTAATATTTCTAAACATTTTTAACTTTCTTAAAATGATTTAAATAAATTTAATTTCTTTTCAATTTTTTGATTCCATTAGTATTATATTTAACCAATTTGGTCAAATAATGTTTTCTAACTGAATTCTTCCTATCTTTTTTCCTTAACTAGATTATCCAATTCATCATGAAAACTATAAGTAACATTTTATTATCCAGTTTGTATTATATGATTTTTCTATTCATCAACAACTCTAATTAATTAATCTAATTATTAAACAATTTCAGATTTTAATGAAACAAGATTTTATTAGAGTTCTTCAATTCTTTTGATGGTGATCGTTATCACATTCCCAACTAATTCATACTTTTATTTTTGATTTTCCTCTATAATCTCTACAACCTTTTTGAAACTCATTAGTTGGGCTTTTGATCCAAGATTTTCCATGCATTAACAGCATAAAAGTCTCTCATTCCTCTTTAAAGTTGTATCAAAAGCAACCATAAGGATTGGAAGTTTATGCTTTAAACAACTATGAAGTTCTTCTTATTTTTCAATCATTTTTGATTAAATCATTTTTATAAATTATTTTGTAATACTATTAGTTTCATGAGATGCTTATGAATTTGGATTTTTTAATACTCAATATTAATTATGAATCTTGGGTGTAGAAATTTACTTTTTTCTATAATTCCAACTTTCTAAATAAATCTATTCTAAACTCCTATTATAAAATATTGGATAAGGCTGTCTATGGCAATCTACTTAATATAAATTCATCAACAATAATAATTATTATTCCTACAATAGACAGTAAGAGAGGTAAAAGGTATATAAGTTAAATTTATAACTACTGTAGTAGAGTAAGAGAGAATGATTATTTTGAAATAAATGATATTACCAATAAGAATTCTATATTTCCTTTAAACAATTGAGATATATGTAAATTCACAAATAATATTGAAATTATTCTAGTCAAGCTAATCCCTAATCTGTAGTCATAATCTTGTAAGAGAAAGGTCTAGTATCAAACTAGATTAGAAATAGAATAAGAATGAAATGGGAATTTAGAATTAAGACTCTACTTCTATAATTATTTAATACTTGACATTTAGAGTAAATCAGAATTCATTTCTAATAATTTACTTACTTTTTTTAAGATATTAAACTTAAGCAAGAGAAATCAGAATCGAATTTAAACAATTTAGATTTCGTTCTAAACTCAAAAATTTGCTATTCACAATGAAGAAGGATTCTTGTATTTTGCAATTAAAATAAAAGGCGATTGATCTCAGTCTATTTCACTAAATGTGGAAAATGAATAGAAGAACTATAAGCTTGCAAAAGGATTTCAGTATGATAAATGAAAATAATTGAAATTAGGAGTTTCTTATAGATACTAATATTTAAGTTGTGAGAGATTGAATTAAAATTATGCAAACTAGTTCAGATCAGTTAAATGAGTATGCTTTTGATAAAAATGAATTAATGGTTCTAACTAAAAAATCAACCAATTTCTATTGATTTTGTATATAAGGGAGTTTTATTTAAAATTGATAAATAGAAAATAATGAAAATTTCAATAACTTATTTTGTGAAAGAATTCTTTAAAGTCAGTTAAAAGGAAAAAATAAAATTATTGCTCAATCATTAATAATTTATAATAACCATCCTAATATCTTAATTTTAAAAAATGAAAACTCTAAATTACATAATTTTAATTTTTTTTAATATAATCTAATTATTTAAATTTTACAACCTAGGCTTTTATTTGAAGTGAATAAGAATATTAGTATTGGTTTCTTAAAAATCAACCTAAATAGCATTTTATATGAGAAAAATTTATTTATAAGGATTAGATTCTCTCAGACACTGTTTATCAAGGTCCTATTTGTTTGCTTCTGAATACGAAAAAGACATGTTGAATATCTTCAATTAAACTTTTATTTTTATCTTTAAGTACATTTATAAATCATATTATTTTCGAACGTCCTTTTTATCATATCAACAGTTATTATTTCATTATTTAAATGTTTTAGCCCTACTATTATTTTGTCACATCATTTGCTCATAATAATTGATATAAAATAGTGTTTCTATTTTAAAGATTTATCTAGTTTCTTTTATATTTTTCTTAATTTTTTTTTCCTTCAGAACTTTATTTATTTTAGCCATTCATACGAGTGACCATTAGTAAACGATTCATTTCATAAATAAAAATATTAGTAATTCAGAATTCAACTTGTAACACTTAAATCGAATTGATTTTGCAAATTTAGAAGTCATTTAACCAAAATATCAAATGTGAGCGATGCTATAATCTGCATTCTATTAAAATTTATAAATGATGTATTTTGTATTTTTTTTATATCATTAGTTATTAGAGCTAGTAGAGATAAGAAGGAGTCGAGACTGTCATTAAGGATGTTTACAAAAGGAATCAACTCTTAAATATATATTTTAGAAAAATTTTTTGATTTTAAAATTGGAATTGCAGGAATATACTGTGCTAGATTTGAATTTCAATTATTGTTTGAATATGCTTAAAAAAATCTAATTCATTTCATGATTTCTATTGAGATTGACAGTTTTCAAGGCAACTCTTGATTAAACTAAAGAATTATTATAAAATTGCTTGAGAAGGTGAATCTTAGGTGACAAAGAAATATAAGATTTTAGAATAGTATTTGGTGACTTTTTAAAGGTAGAATTTTTTTCTTCATAATTTAGATATTTTAGGTTTGAAAGATTAACCGAAAATAAAATGATAGTATTATTATGCATCATTTTAGAATTACAATAAATTGAATTTTGCTTTAGACTAAATCCGTGATAGTTTCAATTTAGAGATTTCTCAGAAATCCATCCTGATTTTTTCTACTTTCAAAATTTGATTGTTTCATCATTACTGCCAACCGCTATCCAATCTTCCAAACAAGAAATTATTACTAAAGAGATAATTCAGCTATTACGCTGGACTTTTGTAATGTGATCAAACTATTTTGACACAATAATTGTGTGTTTATAGAAGTTTTAATAAGCTTAATACACCTGCTATTTAAATGCTTATTTTCCTTGAACTTAGAAATTAGCTTAAGTATTCAAATTTTTTGTTAAAATAATATTATAATAAAACAATAACTCATTAATGAGATCTACCTTTGTCCATAACATTTTATAAATTAACACAATTTGAGCTGGTACAATCTTGAAGTAAATAAATTAATCAAAATTAAGGAAAAATTGATAAATTTTGAATACATCTTATTCTAAAGAATACGATGTATTCAAAATGTCAATCTTTTTTTATCCGATAAGCCTTGTAGTATATGGATAAAATACCTAGAACATAAAATTAGTTTTCTGAAGAACTACTTTATAGGTCATTATTTATTATAATCAATTTACTTTATATATACATAAAAATCCAATACATATTAAAAATCTTTTAATCATTTTTACAATCGTTTCAGTTTAATCTATTATAATTATGCCAAGCATTAGAAAAATCTAATGAAATAATCAGTCGAATTTACTCTTAAATATTAAAAAATATAATTTATTGGCATTTTAATTCTAATGTAAATTTTACATTAGAATAAAAAGGAATGAAATTCATCTACCCTATTGATAATTAATTTTGATTGTATTCGCATTTTAATTCTCTAATCCATCTACAAAAGATTGTCAAATTGGAAATATTAACTTTATGAGAAATTAAAGAAAAAATAAATATTAGATAAAAATTCTTTTTCTCAAAAAACTACAATATAGTACTCAATTTCAATTTAACTAACGAAAAATCAAAGTGGTTTATCTGAATTTTTTTTAAGTATTTATCAATAATATTCTTGATGGCTAGTAATGCATGCTTTAGAACAGCTGGATATATAACCATACAGTATTATTAAGGGTTTAAAAGTATGAAATTGATGATCAGATGAAAAAGGTTAAATAAATATGGGAAGCATGTAAAAAAAAAATTGTTTTTAAAAAGTAGATATAAATAGTAAACTACTTTCGCATTTTTAATTTGTAAATTTATTAATAATGATGAGCTGATTTTTCTATTTTCATTTGACAAACTTTCTGTTCTATGCTTATTCTGTAGATTTCATAATGTTGTACAATAAAAATTCTGAATGCTATCTTGATTAAGAGAAGGAGTTTAATATTTCAAATGTAATTTTTGGAATGATAGTAACAATAGAAATAAAATTGCGAAGTTAAAGTCGATCACTACTCCGCTAGATTTTCTTTCAGGAATTAGTAAAAAATAATTAATTTTCTTTTCTGGTTAATCTTTATGATTTTTGAAATTTGTAGGTAAATAATAATTATATCAGCCATCATTAAATATTTAATAACGATTAAATACATAGAAAGTCATAAAGTATATATGTATATTAAGAAATATTACATTATAAAATAAGTTAAAATTTATTTTATTTAATGAAATTGTTTACGTGTTAAGATATTGCGCACGAAGGAGAAGCTATATAGGGATTCTGTTTAAATTTTGGATGCTAGGATTCAAGGCCTTAGTTCTGTCTATAATGTGGAATTGACCCTAAGAAACACTCTAATTGCAAGAAAGATTTAAAAGGATTTGGTTAGATTTAAAGTTTTATCGCGAACTTCAATTAGAACATACTTGATTTAGGAACTGAATTGAATAAATCCTTCACATAAGTCAAAGTAAAATATGAAGAATTCTCAAAATAATTAGAGAATATGAAAATACAATTAACTAAGATATCTGAATGTTTAAGTCAATAAGATTATTAATAAATGAAAGCCAATTTATAATTGATAAAGGAATGGTACCANTATATATACATAAAAATCCAATACATATTAAAAATCTTTTAATCATTTTTACAATCGTTTCAGTTTAATCTATTATAATTATGCCAAGCATTAGAAAAATCTAATGAAATAATCAGTCGAATTTACTCTTAAATATTAAAAAATATAATTTATTGGCATTTTAATTCTAATGTAAATTTTACATTAGTATAAAAAGGAATGAAATTCATCTACCCTACTGATAATTAATTTTGATTGTATTCGCATTTTAATTCTCTAATCCACTTACAAAAGATTGTCAATTTGGAAATATTAACTTTAAGAGAAATTAAAGAAAAAATAAATATTAGATAAAAATGCTTTTTCTAAAACAACTACAATATATTGCTCAATTTAAATTGAAATAACGAAAAATCAAAGTGGTTTATCTGAATTTTTTTAAGAATATATCAATAATATTCTTGATGGCTAGTAATGCATGCTTTTGGACAGCTGGATATATAACGATACAGTATTATTAAGGGTTTAAAAGTCTGAAATTGATGATCAGATGAAAAAGATTAAATAAATATGGGAAGCATGTAAAAAAAAAAATTGATTTTAAAAAGTAGATATAAATAGTAAACTACTTTCGCATTTTTAATTTGTAAATTTATTAATAATGATGAGCTGATTTTTCTATTTTCATTTGACAAACTTTCTGTTCTATGCTTATTCTGTAGATTTCATAATGTTGTACAATAAAAATTCTGAATGCTATCTTGATTAAGAGAAGGAGTTTAATACTTCAAATGTAATTTTTGGAATGATAGTAGCAATAGAAATAAAATTGCGAAGTTAAAGTCGATGACTTCTCCGCTAGATTTTCTTTCTGGAATTAGTAAAAAGTAATTAATTTTCTTTTCGGGTTATTCTTTTTGATTTTTAAAATTTGTAGGTAAATAATAATTATATCAGCCATCATTAAATATTTTATAACGATTAAATACATAGAAAGTCATAAAGTATATATGTATATTAAGAAATATTACATTATAAAATAAGTTAAAATTTATTTTATTTAATGAAATTGTTTACGTGTTAAGATATTGCGCACGAAGGAGAAGCTATATAGGGATTCTGTTTAAATTTTGGATGCTAGGATTCAAGGCCTTAGTTCTGTCTATAATGTGGAATTGACCCTAAGAAACACTCTAATTGCAAGAAAGATTTAAAAGGATTTGGTTAGATTTAAAGTTTTATCGCGAACTTCAATTAGAACATACTTGATTTAGGAACTGAATTGAATAAATCCTTCACATAAGTCAAAGTAAAATATGAAGAATTCTCAAAATAATTAGAGAATATGAAAATACAATTAACTAAGATATCTGAATGTTTAAGTCAATAAGATTATTAATAAATGAAAGCCAATTTATAATTGATAAAGGAATGGTACCAATA